TAATGCTCAACCCGAACCCGACCCGAAATTTTCGGGTTAAAAATTTCTAACCCGAACCCGACCCGACCCGAAATTTCTGGTCGGGTTTTCGGGTTGACCCGACCCGTTCGGAGCACTACTAGCCGTATAATATATAATATATATATATAAATAGAAATAAACTACAATTTATTAGTCAACCAAACAAAATTTTGGTCAACTATTATCTATATCGATATGTTTAATATAAATATAATTTCGAAATATTTTCAACAAATTTGTTCTCAACTATGCTTGTAATTTATAATCAATCTCAGAACATGATTATTATTTCTATTTTTGGTTGATTTTTAGTCGACTAATAAAATTTAGTCGAATAGTTGATTTTAGTCGACTAAAACATAGTCGATTCCTATCATTATTCAAGACCCTATAAAGCTTTAACACCGGAATTTTGAAAACACATATAATGCAAAACGAAAAATTAACTTTAAATGAAGAATCCTAAGACCAAATACACACTCTGAGGCTGGGATTATTCAACTTGAATTATTTAAATTATTTAAAAATTAGAGTGATAATCTGAATAAATAGAATAATTCGGATAATTTTAATATTGTGAATTCGATTAGTTCCATTATTGTGCTTTCAAATTACTGATGGTTTTGCAAATTAATATTTTATTAACAGGAATTTGGCCATTATTTGACCTAGTACTCTGCTGGTTTTAATATATATCTTCCCCAGTATCGCCATCAAAAAGTGAAATTCGAAAATTTCTTTAAAGTTCGTTTAAATTTGAGTTAGGGTTTATTCTAAGGTTAGGTTTATAGGAGCTTTTATAGTAAAATCGCTCAAGGAAAACTTTTTGTTAGTACATGAAAGGCGGTTTCTTATGCAAACTTTTGAGAAAGAAGCGATTTTTTACAAAAAAGACGTTTGTTTTGAATTTTCCTGATCGTGCTACGTTACACCAAATTATGATCTTTATTGGTCGAAAATCACGTGAAGGTGAATTTTTGATGGCGATACTGGGGTAGCTTTTAATATATTATTGATAAAATAGAAGAATAATGGGAATCTTGGAAAATTTTTAATTGCAATATGAGTAAGGGAATTTTGAAAACTTTGATAATATAACGTGAACATGATAACTGAGAAATCTCAAAAAACAAAAAAATTAATTTGCATAGTGATAGTATACAAACCGAGTAATTCGAACCAAATTTTCAATACGTAAATTTATACTGTAATAATATTCAGTATATAGCTTGTATAACAGATAAATAATTGTCAAATGCATAGATATGTATTGGTAAAATAAATTTTAAATTTGGTAATTAAAATTGTTATTAACTTCCTCCTTATTCTATTATTATATCACGTAGCTTGTTCATCTCTTCTATTAGAATTAATAAACTTCATTAACTTTTCTTTTAAATCTTTAATCTCATCTTTCAACTCATCAATGCTCGCTTTTTCATCACTAGTCTCAAGTTCTTCGGCTTGTACGGCTTTTAATAGAATTTGAGAAAAAACGGGTTTTTCAAATCCTTTCCATTCTCCACTCTCAATTTCGCGAATTAAGTCACGGAGTTCGCTCACATGAGCTATATAAATTCTACAATCGACTATACGTTAGTAATTTTTTTTAAACAAATATATACTATAATAAATGAATAACTTACATTACTTCTGGAAACCAGTCCTTATTTCTCCTTTGATGAGGCAGCATATAAAACAATTCAATTTCTGCCAAAATCTAATATTAAAAATGATAAAAAGTAAATAATTTAAGTTAAATTTTTTTTTTTTTTGAGTACCAATATGAAGAGAAAATTATTTTTTAAATACCTCAGCTTTTTGCATTAAGTAAGATTCATTATTGTTTGTTTCTGAAATCGCATTAGAAAGCAACCCAATAAACAAATTCATGAAATAAATAGTCGTAAAAAATGAAAATGTAAAGCTTAAAACGATTAAAGTGAAGTTATCTTCTAAAACCCAAGATCCTATTGGAGATGAATCGCCTATTAAGTGCAGAATTAATCAAATTATTACTAAATTTATTAAATATAAATCATTAATATAAATTATAAATTTTAAAAAAATACCAGTAAGCATAAGATAAACTGCCAAAATTGAAGTTGCAAACCCGGAAAACATATTGGTACTTGCGTCCGGTGGCTCAATGAGCGATGGCTGAGTTGAAATAACTCCACCTTCACTAACCGAGTCATATGTTGTTGCCAAATTCCATGGATCGTTTGGATCTGATGAATAACTTGGCTCATCTAATGAATATGAATCACTAGGCCTCAATAATAAATGTAAAGAATGTGCGAAAGCAAACACAACACAAGCGATAATCGTCAAAAAAGAAAAAGCTCGTTTTGCGACACCAAATATCATTGCAAAGTAGACGCCAATAAATCTGAAAGCACGAAAATAGAAAAGAAATTTTAATTCAAGCAATAGGGTAGCCATAGTTGTTGCCCAAGTAGGAGCCGTGCCATATTCGATCCAGATGTAAGATGTGAATATTGTGAATGCTATTGCACCTATGTCTAAATAAAATCAATACCAAAGTATTTAATAATTTAGTACATTATTTAAATCTTATATTTATATTATATAAATCAAGATAATTTACCAAAATAGTTCCAAGGACTTTTAATATAATCATTTGGAGAATGAATAAGTTGCCTAAACTCATGAACCAAATGATAAATTCCCAAACCAATTGCCAAGTACAACAGAAATCGTTGTTCTCCTACTGTAAAAAAATTACCCAAAGTAACTACGAAAGTATAACAACAAAGAAATGTAGTATATATCGACCAAGAAATTAAATAATATCTTAATCCATAGGTATTCCATTTAAAATTTATTAAAGCTTCACCATTCCAATACTTGTATAGTTCTAGATCTATTGAATTTGTGAAATAACTTGGTGAAGGATTCTTTATTTCTTGCCAAGTGCTATAAATTTTGGGATAATTCACAAATTTTGGAAGAGGAATAATAAGTTTGACTGTAGCCTCAGAATCCGGAATAGCTTTATTATGAGTAACAGATGGTTGAGAGATGTCCATTTCTTGTTTTGATCTATGCATCAACTTATTCCAATAAAAAGTAATATTTGAAACAAATGTATCAATTAAAGAAGTTTTTGTTGATGGTTGATTGTAAGTTCCAAAATGATATAGATGTTGAGTAGGCAACAAACTAACAATCTCACTATCCAATATCATATCAGGATCAGCTAACGGCATCACAAATGCAGTTTGAGATAAAAATCTAGCCAAATAAATTGGATGCCTTCGCAATAATTGAGGAAAGAATTCAATTATGATGGATAATAGTTGAATATCTGAGGTAGATCTAAGACCTTCGCTTGAGAAAGTTATGTCATAACATTGCTTACAAAATTTTTCAACCAACTCATCTTCTTTTAAAAATAAAAAGGTTTCCATTAGAGTTGAACCATAATTGATTATAAAAAATTTGTCAGAGATATAGTCATCTAATAATTCTTTAAAAAAGAATTGTTTTTTTTCTTCTTTTTTTTCTCCTTTTTTTTCTCCAAATGTCAGATTTTTATTTTTAATTATTATCTGAAATTTTGAATCAGGAAATGCATTGGCGTATGGTTTTAATTCGGGGGGTACACTGAATGGGTTTTCAACTGGATTTCCTAAATATAAATTGAATCTTTTTTCATTTCTAATTCTTGCTCTTCCCCAATAACAATGTAATCTAACTCCTTTTTGTGGATGAACTGTCCATACTAAGATTCCAAAATTAGTTAACATGAGTAAATCATCATTAGCAAGGCATTTACATTTCATAATTTTAAGTTTTTTCGTGTGTTCTGGAGGTTGAAAGTTGGGATTTATGGATCTTTTAGATTCTCCTTCTACTGGTCTCCAAGAATTATTATTTTGATCATATATTTGGGCTTCTATTTCAACCTGGTAACCAGGTCTATTACCTTGTTTTTTGTAATGTAAATTCCATGTCAAAAAGCTACCTTGGAAAGGATATTCGTCGCTTTCCTCCGGTGGAACTTCTGATCCATTGAAATATTTTCCTTTTAATTCATCTTTAATCATGTTTGCAATATATTCACAATCAGAAAGTACATATATCCTATTATAATCGCCAAGCTCTTTCCGTATGTATTCTATCCAATTACTCGGTTTAACTAGGTCATAGATGTCCAAATTTTCATCTATTATACCGATAGCATTATCAGATTCTTTATCGGATTTTATTATATACGGGTCTCGAATCTGCACGTCAGATTCAAATAATTTCTTAGCAGAAACAGGTTTTTTAAGATTAAATGGATCCATCAAGTCAATATATCGTTCTTCGTTAAACTGATTGTGTGATTTAATAAGTAGACGTTCTCCAGCTTCATAAGCAATAAAGTAGATGCAGTCTACAACTATTTTTTCGTCATAATCATCTGTTGTAAATAAATATATATTAAGTTAAAATTATTAGATTATAATATATAACATAAATAACTATTAATTTAAAATAAACTTACGAAAAGCTATATTAATCCCACTTCTAAGAGAATAAATGTAAATCCTAGATTTCTTTGGTGTTTCTTCCTGTAAATAAACCGCATAAACAGCCAAAAGTTCTCCACCCTGGTTTATTTCTACAAGCCTAACTTTATAACACCAATCGATCATACAATTTGTTTCAAACTTCAAATCCTTAACATTCCATTTAGTTAATTGAAATATCTGGTCGTCGAATAATATCAGTTTTCCTTCAATGGTAATGAAGGCATCGCAAAAATATGATAACTCATATTTATTATATAAAAACCATTCTCTATTTTTTAGTTTGAATACATAAATTTGATGCATAGGTTCGGTCAGAGCTACTACTAAATTGTTATGATCGCCATCCGGGACGAAAGCTAGTTGATTTACAAAATTGCGAGGGTTAGGAAAGAAAAGATCTATGCGTGCCCCTTTCGCATCGAATAATTCTAATTTTAATAAAATTTTTTATATCATTTATTAATAAATTATTTTAAAAACGGAGTAACGAAAGAAAAGGTAAAGATATTAACCAAAATTATAATAAAAATAGTTTGTCTTAAATACAATGTACTTATCGTCCGAAACAGCCCATAATACAGGTTTTGGTTCCTTAATTTGATGCCCCTTAATCGCAGATACCCACTTCAATTTCTTTTCAGCCGATTTATTTACTAACCATAGGGTTGCTTCCCTAATTTTGCCACCTTCATCATACATATCCGTCTTATCCTTTTTCTCCCCTCCATCCTGTGAGTCATTAGTATTGGTAGATGATCCATATCTAAATTTATACGTAGTAGCTACATATTTCATTTTAGGTGAACAAACGATTTGAACAATATCCTTGACAGCGATTTCCTCAGGTTCTGCGTTAGAACCAGTGTCAGAACTTCTTCGAGAAATAATACCTGGAACCGTGAGACTTGAGTTGTCTGGATATCTTGTTTCTGGAATATCAATGTATGCTGAATCATCATCATCACTATAATAATAAGTTTCCATTATTTAACTGTTTTTTCTTTTTAAAAGTAAAAATTTAAAAAGATTTAGAATCGCGTCCGTATTTACCATAAACCTTAAATCTAGGAGGCTTAATTATTTGTTTGTAAAGAGGCTTCTGTCTAATTAAGTAAAGCCACATACCAAGAATTTTCTTAATTCTAGATCTCTAGATCTGGCATCGTTCGCTTCACCGAAATTTCGGTGCATATATATTCAATCCATCGACTTATTTGTTTTTCAATGACGGCTATTTATGGTTTTTATCCGTATTCAATTCAATGATAAATTTTTACAGTAATATTCTGACAAAAATTTTTTATTCAGTTAGTTCGCTGATAGCTAACTTAACATCTATCTTGTTTTACTAGCAACAAAACTTTGAGAATTACTTTAACATTCAGTAATTATAGAACTGAGGCAGGAACTCATAGAAGGAGACTTTTGATTAAAAGTCAGTTTATCAATCATTAACCTTTATTATATTGTTATACAGTTTAAGTGCTTTGAAGAAAAATATAAGTAAATAAATAAATAAAATAAAATAAAAATAAAATAAACGAAAAATATCAAATAAATAAAATATGTAATCTAAAATAATATGATATAATATAATATATTATAAAATAAAATAAAACTAAACAGAAAAAAATAAAAGAAAAGAAAATAAAATAAAAATAAAACTAAACGAATAAAAAAAATAAAGTAAAAATAAATAAATAAATAGTAAAACTTCACGTAAAAGACAGCTTTTTGTACCGTTCTATAATTCTGATTCACTTTTTAATTTAGAATTTTCAAAGCATAATAGTAATATGGTAATAAACTTTTTTAGAAAAAGATGGTTCTGTTTTTACAAGAAGGCCAAAAAGAAGTTGAATGAAAATTATATGTTAGTATAAAAGTAGTTGAAACCGTATCAACAGTAGTATTCGGTACGTAAAAATGAATTGCCATTAATATCATGGTTTAGCATTAGGATCGTTTAGTAGCATAATAGATGCTGGTGAAATTAATTTCACCAATTTCACCAATAGTGGTGAAATTACTTCACCACATTTCACCAGCAACTATAGTAGCATCCGTTTTTTTTGACTATTATTTTTTAAACATCCAAAGATATTATAAATCAGACCACGATTAATAAGATTGAAATAAAGGACACGCACGTTCTTGATTTATTTGTACACTACCTGAAATGCATAAAATATATTTTAAAAGCATGAACAATCCGTATAATTTGTAATAACCGGTGTAAGAGTTTAATAAACTGTAGGGGTTCCGCACAGGTTTGTATATGCAGAATCGTTCGCTTGGCTATAGTACTGAACTGGAGTATCGTTCAGGTACTCCACCATAAAGATTCACTTGGAAAGAATACCACACAGTTTATATTTAATTGAGCGATTCTTTATTATTATTCTTTGCTAACTCAATCACGTTACATGACCCGATCCTAATTACCCCGGCGCTACGAATTCTCCGGAACCCGATTTACCCATCACACCGGTGAAAGAAATATATATTTGGGAGAGTCAACGGAAATCAAGCAAATTTTTTATAATAAAATTTTTAATAACGTTAGGCAATAGTATTTTGACAAGACTAAGAGTTTAACAAATTTAATAAAATAAACACGTGTACTATAAACTTGTAGAATTAATTTAATTTAATTTGATTGATCTTTAAGCTTAAAGTTTTAAAAAATTTACTAAAAAATATTTGCTTGGTTTCTATTAAATCAACTACAATATAATATATATATATATATTGCTTATCGTCTGATAAGCAAAAGATGAAGAAAAAAAAAATGAACAGAATTTCTTATAGAAAATTCAATTAGATTCGATAATCTAGTACGTAATTGTTGGATTTGACGTATAACTTTTTTGCTGAATGTACATAAGTAAAAAATATGCGTAAATATGTAGGAGAGAATGGTTTAAGTATTATCGCGTATTTTAGGCTAGATAAGGCCTTTTTGGCAGCAGAGGTCTTTTTCGATTTTTAACAGCTGCCCTACCTTGTTTGATGCGTCGGAGGTAGTCAAGTAAGGAGAGTATCTTCCTGCCTATCAAATACAAAGTAAAGTTTCAATTATATAATATAATTGAAATTTTACTTTGTATTCGTTACGCAGGAAGATGCTCTCCTTATGCAAACCCGAGTTATACTTGGCGTGCCCCCGACGCACTTTTGACGAACCAAACAAGGTAGGGAAGCTGTTAAAAATCGAAAAGACCTCTGCTCCTTTTGACTTGGATTTGTTTGATATTTTTATTGTTCGATTGTTATTAGAAATAATTGGAAAATTTCATTGTGACCCGGAACAGTTTCTCGTTACGTATCCTTGATGAAGAAGATACTGTTTTATTTTGTGCAACAACTTATATGGAGAGAAAGATATTTCGGGAGTTATGTTATCGCAAATAAGCTACATGAAGATGTGAGTCTGCATACCTTGCTCATATAGCTATTCATCCAAATTAGGTTTATTTGCTGTATATATTAAACAATAACTTCAGATTGAAATTTTTCATAGCTACCACTTGGATCATAACAACTTAATCACTAAGCCGGGTTGTCGTGATCAATAATGAATTTATATACAAATAACAAATACATTAAAGGTATTACAGTCAACTCTCCATAAATATACCCTCCTAAATGCATGTTAATCTTCAGTCCTAAGCATATACTTTACTGAAACTATAAAAAAATAAAAAATATTATTATTATATATTTATTATGTTTTTATTATGCTTTAAAAAA